CAACTCTGCTGTGGAAGGAAAACCTCTGCTTCCTTGTCTACACTGCCAGAATCACTGAACACCTCAGCTTCAGTGTCTTTATCCTCACCACCCCCTGCGTCGTAGGGCAGGGCTTTCAGGCATAGAGAGACTTTGGGTACATCTATGCTGCAAAAAAACAACAACCCCAAAGCAGCACGTCTCAGAGCCCGGCTCAACTGACTAGCAGTGCCGACATTCCTGCTCCGGCTGGAGACTGAGCTCTGAAACCCGGCAGGAACATTCGCCCAGGGGTAAGCAATTATTGTTTGTCGAGGTCCACATTTCTTGGTCAATGTACAGCCAAGGGCTGGACTCCAGAGAAAACAATACAAAAATAAAAACAATAATATACAGTCCATTCAAAAGCGTATGGTGGTCCAGATTTGGCCCACGGTCTGCCTAGGGACTATCTCTACACTGCTATTTTTACCCCCCCATGCGAGCCCCACAAGCCCGAATCAGTTGACCCAGGCTCTGGGTTTTGGGAGGTTTTTTTGGCTGTGTAGCCATACACTAAGTGACTTGCCCAAGGTCACAGAGGAAGGCTGTAGAACGGCAGAGAACTGATCCCAGCTCTCCTCAGTCTGAGTTTAATCCCCTGACCGCTGACCCAGCCTTCCTCCCACTTGCCTTTTCATCCTAAACTTTCCCACCACTGGTACATTTCCCCCCCTGGAGGACGGGCTAGGGTTGAAAGCAGTCGGGCAGCTGCTGTCATTTTACCCATGGTGTCATGTCGAGTTGTTTGGAGGCGCCAGCACGGCACTATCTCGAACCTGTCTTGTTCACGCTGTCGATCTAGGGCTCATGTTTTCAATGCTGCTTCTAGAGATGACCAGATGAAATAAGTGTCATATCATAAAATCAATACTAGCGCCTAGCTCTTGTATAGTGCTTTTCATCAGCTGGGCTCAACGCACTTCACTGGGAGGTCAATATCACAGCAGGCTTCGCTTGATCCAGCACAGGCATGATCATTTGAGATGGTCTCTATACTAGAGAGGTAGATATACCTATATCAATATTTCTGAAAGCGTGGGCTAGCCATTAGGGAAGATGAGGAGGCATGTCTACACAGCAGTGTAAGCCTAGAGTTAGTGGGAGTCAAGTCAGCTGACCTGTGTCAGGGAACCCTGGGCTTGAGCGTCTACACTGCATTTTAACCCTGGCTTATGGATTTTCTAATCCATGCTCAAATCTAAGGCTCTGGCATCCACACTGCAGTGCACAGATCCGAGTCAAAGTAATCCTACCCCCGAGGGCCTAGCGCCCCCGCCCCTAGCGTTGACACTCTAGCCCCGTGAATGTGTTGCACTGTGGGAAAACTCTACTGCTCCCCGGTTTGCTAACTGCGGTGGTGCTATTGATGGGACATGGGTGCCCCCTTAGGAGCCCAGGAGTCCGTACAGCACATCATGAACTCCTTTGATGGCTGTGGCAGTCGTGAGAAGGCTTTGTACTGACCTACCATCTAACCTGAGAACTGGGCTCTGCACCCCTAGGGGGAGTCATGCTGGCTGGAAAATGCCCAGGTGTGCCTGTCCTGAGGATCATTAGCACATCAGGCACCAGGGCTGGGAAACTAGTCAAATGAAACGTGCAGTTCTGAATTTTAAAATGGGCTGGTCAGTGAAGGGGGTTTGGTTGGTTGGGGTTTTTTTATTTATTTTTGTCCGTTTGTTTTGAAGTTTGCCATAAAATGCAGGTTTCAGAGGAAAAACACAGGCTGGCTGCTGCCGGCCGCGGAGCGGTGAAGTGCATCCCCAGGGGTTGGGGTGCAGTGTGCTCCAGCCCCACCCCAGGATCCCTTCTCCCTGCCCCCACCACAGCCTGAGAGGCAGGGCTAAGGGATCCCCGGGAGGCTGTGGGAGAGTTTGGGGGCTGGCACCCACTCACCAGCCTGACAGTGCACACTGCCTCAGCACACACAGCCCCAGGGAGCATGGGGGGCCCAGGAGCAAGGGACAGGGGGTGTAGCAGGACCAACTGGCTACCCTGCAGAGAGAGAGAGCAGCAGAGCTCCCAGCTGTCCCCCAACATCCTGGCAGCCAGGCGCTACCTCTCGCCTGTCAGCTTTGCTCCCTGCTCTGGGCAAGCTCTGCACAGCAGCAGCTGGTCCCGTGGGAGGCTGCTGGGAAGTTTTGGGGCTGACTCCCACTCGTCGCCCTGACAGTGCATGCTGCCCCAGCACCCCTGCACATGCAGTCCCAGGGATGGGGAGTGGCTGGGGTGTTGGGGATCAGCTCCCCCATCCATGCTGAGCTGGGAGCTCAGCCGCCTGCTCCCAACAGGGCAGCTGCTTGGTCCCCACTCCACTTCCCCAGGCCGTGTGCACCAAAATCTGGCCGTGCTCTTGTGACCAGGAAGCAGCTCTCTTTGCAAAGAGTCTCTGATCAGTCTCCATTGCAAACCCGGCAGGTAACGTGCCTGCAGCCTGGCGTTCAGCAGACGGTAGGTGGTTAACGCTGATCAGAGCTGCTGCCATCTGCAATAGAGTGCAAGAAACTGCACCCCGGATTGTTGGCATAGGGAGGACTAAGGAAATTGCCCCCAAGGAACTCTGGGATACATCCGGAGGACTAGTGGGACCCAAGTCAAGCTGAGACCACGTGCATACAGGAAAGCAACAGGGCTTGGACTCTAGGTCCCACTTTAACACAGGCCTGGATCCTCCATCCCCTCAGGGCCCTGCTTTGAGCGCTACGTTAACACAACTGGTGCGTGGCCTCAAGGGGGGAGTTAGGTTCGAGCCTGGGCTCACATTGCTGTGTACACATACCCCAGGAGTCAGGCCTCTTCGGGCCGATTCTTGACTCTACCACAGACTTCCTGTAATCCCGCTGTGCCTCCATTTCCGCTTTCAAAAGGGACAGTGAGACTTGCCCACCTAGCAGACGGCTGCATGCCTTAATCAGTGTTTGCGACGTTCGTGCAAAAGCCGCAAAGCATTATTATTATGATTGAGTCTGGAAATTAAAATGGGCCTGAAATATGTTAAAAGAATGTCTGATTATTCCCAATTGTTTGCAGTGGGGTTGTAGCCATGTCGGTCCCAGGATGTAGAGACAAGGTGGGGGAGGTAATTTATTGGACCAAATTCTGTTGGGACGAGAGACAAGCTCAAACAGAAACTGGCTCAATAAGAGATATTGCCGCACCCACCTTGTCTCTCGAATTAGTCCCAAGACAAATATAAAAACTGGATCTGAATTGGCCACCCTCCCTAGTTGCTGAAAAACAGACGCCCTTAATTTCCTCATTTACTTTTTCATATTTGGGGCAAATTTCTGCTCTTTGATCTGCTGAGCGGAACTCAGCTGTGTGCTCTGCAGGTAGGGAACTTCCAGGTGGGAGAGACTCTGCTGCCCCCTTGTGGACTGAAATCGTATAATTTCCTTGCATCAAATGCTTGTTTCTTCTCTCCAGTACCTGCTGTGACTTCAGGGGAGTGTATAAGGCAGGTTTCTTGGGATCTGGGCCCAGCAGTCTGAGGGGACCTAATGTAGCAGTGAGGCAGTGGGAAAACCCTACAGGTCTGATTTTCAGAGATGCTGAGCTCCCACTCCTCTAGTTAAAGACAGTGGGAGCCGCGAACGCCAAGCGCCTCTGAAAAATCAGGCCCTGGGCGTCTATGAGGAGGGTTGAGGGAACAGTAGCAGGGAATGGAAGATCAAGGAGTACCTTGGAGGATACAGAGTGGGTGTGGCTTAAGAGGGAAGGCCATTTAGGGGAGTTTGGCGGTAGAAGATGACGTGTCTAGGGGACATTCCAAAGTTTTGGAGGATTTAATAATACAGGAGACCGACAAAGGATTCTGTTTAAATTTGAGTCCTGCTCCTTTCTCAGCCCTGAAAGGCTTTTGTTTTTCAATATTTTTTTCTAGCTTAGAAATCTAAGCAGTGCAGCAAACTCCAAAATTTGTAAGTTGCACTTTCATGATAAAGAGATTGCATTATGGTGCTTGCATGAGGTGAACTGAAAAACACGATTTCTTTGTTTATCATTTTTAAGTGCAAATATTTGTAATAAAAAACAATAATATAAAGTGAGCACGGTACACTTTGTATTCTGTGTTGCAGTTGAAATCAATATATTTGAAAATGTAGAAAAGCATCCAAAAATATTTAATAAATTTCAATTTGTATTCTATTGTTTAATGGTGCAATTAAAAGTGCGATTTTTAAAATCGCGATTAATATTTTTGAGTTAATCACGTGAGTTAACCGCGATTAATCGACAGCCTTAAAGAAAAGCACAAAATATCATGAGACTTACAAGAAAATCATCAGAATGGGCAACAAAGTATCTGGACTAGCCAGGCCCGTTTTGCTGGAGGACTCCTTGGATGGTCTCAGAGATGGGTATTGTCAGATCTGACACCTTAGTTGAGCAGGCAGAGATGTTAGATCTTTAACAAAGACTTCCTTTCTCCCTAGTGTGCAGGCAACTGTTGAGTATTCATGAAAATGATGATGAAGCCAGAAGGGTTTCACACATTTTTAGCACAAATATTTATTCATCGAAGCGTTTGGCCTGTGACGAGTGCTATGCAGAATCCATCATTCACTTTCCTTTATTTGCTAGCTAGACAAGTTTCAGTCATCCAATCAGGAAGCAGAAACAACTCTATTATGACTGGTGACCAATCACAAATAACAAAGAGCGGACATGAACATTTTGCCCCACTGTCTGAGACTTATTCAGCAAATAAACCCCTGTGAATAACAGAAATCAGGGTCAGCCGTGAACGATTCACACTGAGAAAGATGGGTTAAAACCACAGTGCTGGATAGTCACAATCCACAACTTGCCTAGCTCCAGTGAGTGCCCTAAAGTACCTTCCCAAATGGCACCGACTGCCACAGCTCATAGAGAACCAACGTTGCTCAACGGACTCCTCCTTCATTCCTACCCAGGACGCGCAGAGCAAGCAGCCACACCCAGCAGTAGTAAAGCAGTCAGTGGTGAGCTCAGGATACAAGAGTAGCTTGGTATTTATTCTATAAACTGGTTTGAATTCCATTAGATTCCACTTACAATAACCCAACAATATGATTTATTAGCGTCTGCATGGGATCCCATGCACCTCTGCCCCATGAGCCGTCCTGGGGTCGGCATCCACAGTCATTTCATGCCCAGCTGGGTTTTCAGGGCCTGGAGCCCAGCCATTTGGATGCTGCCTCCTCCACACACGATGATGACAATGGAGTCCAGGTCTGGGTTCAAGTGCCCTTCCCGCTGCAGCTGTTGAACACGACCCGTGTAGAGTAAGGCCAGAGGGGCTCCACAGGCAGGCTGGACTAGCATCCGCTCATCATCTGGGCAATGCCGCAGGAAGGAGAAAGAATCACAGAATATCAGGGTTGGAAGGGACCTCAGGAGGTCATCTAGTTGAACCCCCTGCTCAAAGCAGGACCAATCCCCAGACAGATTTTTGCCCCAGATCCCCAAATGGCCCCCTCAAGGATTGAGCTCACAACCCTGGGTTTAGCAGGTCAATGCTCAAACCACTGAGCTATCCCTCCCCCCATAAAGGAGGAACTCCGCTATGCACTGGCAGTAGGCTGTTATCCTCACAGGGGGAAGCCACTAGAGGGAGGAATGACCATCGGCACTAATTGGAGACTAGCCCTTGTGCTTTCAACCTAAGCTGGTATACTGCATATGCGACACGCTTGATGTGTCCACTAACATTCAAATTCCCTACCATTACATTGTGCTCCAGGCCAGTTGAGGAAGCCCGTCTCTGCGCTTAATTTCTTCAGGCCTATGGCACAAGTCCTTTATTGGCTGTAGCACAGTTTGAACCCCTCTACTCCGGTGAAACCAAATATACACTATTAGGATACATTTGGGTCACAGCTAGGCCGTAATTGCATGGCACAGCCGTAACTGTAACATAGATGGGTCTGCCAGTGTCTCTGATCCCTGGAGCCGATTTCCCCAGTCCCCGTTTGCAGAAAAATGGTAACTAAACCTACGTTCCTATTCCGCAGAGAATTGGCAGAATCAAGGGTCAACAATTTCCTTACCCAAGAGGGAGAACTCGGAGCATGAAGCACCTCTGATAGGCGTTAGGTGGTGCTGTTGGCTCGCCGCAGTCAGCCAGAGAGCAGCATCAGCACCCAGCGTCTGTAGGACTTACCCAGGAACAGCTCTACGGCTTGAACTGCTTCCACATCCTCCACCAGCTGGGAGATGATCTGGCATTCGTTGGCACATTCCAGTGCCCGGGCAGACACCGTCTTGGCTCCTAAGCATTTGGCCACGCTGGGAAATGGATAGCAAAAGAGAGACCCCCCATTAGCGCTCCGAGCTGGGAAATCCAGCCCAGGCCAGAGGGTGGGGAGAAATTCACCCCTTCATCTCCGCAGCTAGGACTTTGTGGTGGTGCAGGGTTCTAGGCTGGCAGCCCTCGAGGAATGCCATTGACCAGACACCGCACGGGACAGCTGTGAGCCCCACCAATGAGCCTCAGCCTTGAGTAGGAGGAAACCATCACAAGGCGGGAGTTTGGTCTCCATGGCCCATCCAGCCTTTTGCCTCTCTGCTGGGATTGCCCCCAGTGTTGCTGGGTTTTGGTGATGTGGAGCCCTGGATTGAGGCCTGCCCACTCATTGCACACAAGGGCCACCAAAGGGTCAACAGATAGAGTAAGAACTTGCAGTCATTACTGACTCAGGCTGGATCTGAACCCCGTGCCCCTAGAGGTGGAAGGCGCTGGAGCTCTGCAATATTTGCATCCTGCTGCAGACCCAGAGCATGAGCAGCAGCCCACTCTATGTCCCACCTATGAAAACCTTTCAGTGTGGTGTTCTCCAGAGCTTGTTACAAGCTGCACCCTAGACAGGACCTGACTGCAGCAAACCAGAGCACTGTCCACTCATTTCATCCAGAGCAAGGGATGGTGACTCACAGGTGGCCTTTGAAGTCCAAGGCTGGGATTCCCAAAGGAGCCTGCAGAATTGGGCTCTTAGCTATCAAAGCTATTTCCAGTCTCTCTATTGTAGTGTCCGAGCACCTCATGAGCGTCAATGGATCTGTCTTCACACCAGCCCTGGGCAATACTCTTATTCCCATTGTCCAGGTGGGGAACTGAGGCACACGGAGGCTAAGAGACTTGCTCATGGTCACACAAAGTCTGCAGCAAAGGAGGGAACAGATCCTCTGTCTCCCCAGCCTGAGGCTACACCCAAACCACTGGCTCAGCCTTCCTCTCCTAACAGGCTCACACTGCTCTGGAAACCCAGCCCTAAGAAGGAAGGCTCAGATGACTGTCTGGCTGGCCAGTTCGATCGGATCCTCATGGACAAAATTCATGGCAGAGAAACTCTTACGGGAGTTCAGGAAACAGCCCCAGTATCCCCTTTGCTCATTTCGGCTTCAGATCCCTGGGAAAACACTCTGCTTCCAAATCTTCTTAGCGGGTTTCTGGCCAGATCAGTACCTGAGAGGCCACACTAGGCCCAGAGAGTGAGGACTTCTTATCTACTACTGGACACTTTTAAAAACCAAGGGAACATTGTGGGTTGTGGTTTTAAGTGTCTATCCTAGCACCTCCTTAAAGTTTTGACATGTACAACACACTGATCTGTGTACAAGCCAGGGAATATAGTCCAGGGACATCTCTGAGATTCTCTCTTGAAGTGAATTGGAATTATCAATAACTAGAGGATTGGGCCAAAAGAAATCTGATGAGGTTCAACAAGGACAAGTGCAGAGTCCTGCACTTAGGACAGAAGAATCCCATGCACTGCTACAGACTAGGGACCGAGTGGCTAGGCAGCAGTTCTGCAGAAAAGGACCTAGGGGTTACAGTGGACGAGAAGCTGGATATGAGTCGACAGTGTGCCCTTGTTGCCAAGAAGGCTAACGGCATTCTGGGCTGTATAAGTAGGGGCATTACCAGCAGATCGAGGAACATGATCATTCTCCTCTATTCAACATTGGCGAGGCCTCATCTGGAGTACTGTGTCCAGTTTTGGGCCCCACACTACAAGAAGGATGTGGAAAAATTGGAAAGAGTCCAGCGGAGGGCAACAAAAATGATTAGGGGGCTGGAGCACATGACTTATGAGGAGATGCTGAGGGAACTGGGATTGTTTAGTCTGCAGAAGAGAAGAATGAAGGGGGATTTGCTTTCAACTACCTGAAAGGGGGTTCCAAAGAGGATGGATCTAGACTGTTCTCAGTGGTAGCAGGTGACAGAACAAGGAGTAATGGTCTCAAGTTGCAGTGGGGGAGGTCTAGGTTGGATATTAGGAAAAACTTTTTCACTAGGAGGTTGGTGAAGCACTGGAATGGGTTCCCTAGGGAGGTGGTGGAATCTCCTTCCTTAGAGGTTTTTAAGGTCAGGCCTGATGAAGCCCTGGTTGGGATGATTTAGTTGGGGATTGGTCCTGCTTTGAGCAGGGGGTTGGACTAGATGATCTCCTGAGGTCCCTTCCAAGCCTGAGATTCTAGGATTCTATGATTCTTAAGTTGGGCCCTAGACAGAGATCGGATCTGTCCTGATTTCTGGCTTTTTCTGTCTTGAACTGCCAGACAGGGAGCGCAGGTCCCTGGCTGGCTGCTGGCGTTCATAAATCAAGGGAGTTCAGGGTGGGAATATCATTCACAGAGGGAGGGTGGGACTAGGCTAGCCTAGCATGCCCCAGAGCTGCAGACCCTGGAATCCCAGGGTGTCTCCAGCCCCAGGGCAGCCTGCATGGCGCAGCACCGCAGCATCCAGCCAGGCAAGCTGGCAGGGAACCAGGCAGGTTCCCAACGAAACCAGGCCTGTGATTCAGCAAAGCAGGGGTTCCTCCAAAGCAGGGGTGTGGAAAAGGGAAGCCTGCCCTTGAATTTCCTCCTTGAAAGCCAAGCAGAGGATTCCAGCCTCCAGAGCTGTCAGTCCGGCAGCTGATACCAGCTGCAAACTCCCCACAGGAGAGTGAGTGAGGGGCATCAGCCAAGAAGTGCGGGGGGAGGGGGGAATTGGGGTGACAGCCCCTCCCCCACCACATTGGGTAAGGGCCGTGCCTCTTCTGAAGCAGTAGCTCGACTATTATTGGTCCCACTTGCTCCCTTCCCCACCCACCCGCTTGTACATCGCATGCGCCTGCCATTTCCCTTCCCTGTCATTGTAACAAGTTTGTACAGCCCCTAGCGCAACAGCCAAGGCCTCAACATGCTGTTGCAAGGCAATTAAATAAAATAATAATAATAATATCCTCAGATCCCGCCTCCCCTCCCCGCACCTCCTGCAGATCCCCCATCCCCTGCCCGCACCCCCTCTGAGCCCCTCCCCTGCCGCCACCCCCTGCAGAGCCCCCTTTGCAATCAATTCCCTCCTGTCTCCGCTCTCACCTGGTTATCTCCGGCAGGGTGACCAATCTCCCAGCCCTGAGCGCTGCATTGAAGCTGTCAGCTCCTTTGGTTTCCACAGCAACGATGGGTACATCCTGCCAGCCCACGTCCTGCAGGCCGGCCACCACTCCAGCCAGCAGCCCGCCACCGCCCACCGCCAGGACGATGGCTCCCGGCTTGTGGCCTAGCAAATCCTTCAGCTCCCTGACCATGCTGGCATGGCCTTGCCTATGGGGACAGGGGTGGAGACAGCAAACCAGCTGTGAGACACCAACCAACGGGCACTTCGGTGTGACGCGTCCATGCCGGGCCGGGCTCGGACAATGGCTGGGCAGCCCTCTAGTCCCAGGCAGACCTAGCTGCAGTTCCCCTGGGAGCTGGTCGGGGCACATGCTGCCGCCTGGCCCAGCTGGCAACAAGAATCTTGGAGGTAGCAGAAGTCAGGAGAGGTGAGGAGGGGGCTTGGGACCATGAGAGGAGGGATAGATAGATGCACAAGCACAACCCAGGGGGTCGAGGGGCTCCCCAAATGTCTCCTCTCCTGAGGCTCCCCCTCAGAGCAGTGGCAGGATTTCAGGGCTTAGCCACACCCTACCTATCAAGTCTGACATCGCTACAGCGCTGCCCGCCTCCGCTCTGCCATGCCAGCCTCGCGTGGCCCGCTCTCTGCCCCCGAGCTGGCAGGAAACCCCCGCCCCGGCTTCCTGCTCCTGTCCTCCTCCTGGATTGGGTGGCATCGGAGACGAGACCACGCGGAGCTGCCCCAGGGTCTGAACTGAGGACGGGGAGACCAGCCTGGCTGCGTGTGATCATTAGGAGCCTGCACAGCCCTGCAGGAATGGGCCAGAGCCCAAGGGCAAGGGGCACCTGGGCCAGTGACTGAGGCCGGGGGGGCACTCGGACTGGTTGTTTGCGGACAAGGCTGCTGGAGTGATTTCGGGGGGCACTCTCGCCTCCCCGAAGGCTGTCAGAGGCAGGGTGGGTGTTCGGAACAGGGAAGCCGCCCCACCCTTCATTCCCTTGAGCCCCGTTCCCCCACGCTAACCCCTCAACTCGTGCTGAAGTTGCACACCTGCTTCAGCATCTCCCTCAATCAGGACCTACCAGGTCACTTTCTGCCACTGCTCAGGTGCAAAGAGACACTGGGACGACCGGCAGGACAGGCCCAGCAAATTCCCCTTGGAAACCCCGAGCTGGTGGCATTCAAAGACAACCCTCCTGACCCGACAGCTGCCCCAGAGCGCGGAGATCTGGTCTGATGAGCAGCTCTTTGCTCCGGAGCTGGGCTGTGACCATCCCTTGCCAGCTCAGTCTAAAGGGAGGACAAAAGGGCTTGACCCACCCACACTCCCACTGCACACAGAGTCCACCGGGAGCAGCTGGAACGTGGAGAACCCGGCAACCTCCTGGAGTTCTCTCCCTCCTGCGCCACCTCTTGTGCACCCTGCCTGGCTCATCTCACCACATGGATCCCACCGCAGCCCGAGGTCAGTCACACTGGGCCCGATCGACAATAACCCCCTGAGAGCCCCAACTTCTCACCAGATCAAAGGATGGTCGAAGGGATGGACGCTGACCCAGCCTTCGGTCTCCGCTAACGCCAGGGCTTGGACGTGGGCATCGTCCCAGACCTGCCGACACAATGATGCAGGGAAGGATCCATGACCTACCTGCCGCTGCCAGCTTCAGCCAGCCCTCGCTCCCCTGGCTGGCTAGGAACGGCCTGCCCACCACTTAGACTGCGTGCTGTGTGGGGCAGAGACTGTCTTTCCTTGATATGTATGTGCAGCGCCGAGCACAACGGGGCCTGGCTGGTCAGGGGAGGCTATGCACCAGGTCCTGGTTACCCTCTCCTGGCAGGTCCTGTCCAGTGCAATGGAGTTACACTGATGGAAAACTGGGGGAAGAAGAGAATCGGGCCCAGTGACTTTAGCGGGTGCCTCTGTGTGTTTGGTTGTGCCTGTGTGTGCGAGGAGAATCAGGCCAGTGCATGTGACAGGAAATGACACACCCGGCCAGGTCTGGCGTTCAGCCCTGTTCCCCGTGACTTGCACTGGGTTGGGTGCCCGCGGGTGAACGAGGCTGGAATTCAGCCCCTTTTGTCACCTCAGTACACGGGTAACGTCTGTTTATCTGAATTTCAATTCTTCTAACGGCCTGTGTCCTCCCCACAACCCAGCAGGGAGAGGGGGAGCAGCCGCAGGAGAGAGTTGCGGGCTTCTGTTGGTCCGAACACGCTGTTATCCAAGGGTGTCAGATCCCCGCCAGGCCATTCAGATCAATGGAATTCACCCGGATACACCTCGCTCCCAGCTACCCATTAGCAACGTACGGCAAGTTAAACGCCTGGCAGAGTAAAAACACGGAGCTGGAGCTGGACCCTTGGGGAGGTTCTGCGCCAGACGGCGCTATCCCAGAACCCCACTGGTGCACAGTTTTATACCCACTGCCATTCTGCAGGGGTTTGCCGGGTGCTGTTTTCCCCCGTTCCCAGGGCGCAGGCGTGACCAGTGTGGGACTTTTCTGTCCTGTTTTTATGAACTATCCATATGACTCTCCCCGTCACTTTGGGATTGCTAGGCAGTGAGTGCAGAGGGGTTCAGACGCTGCTGGTGGGCAGACCGGGAAACACGAGGGGTTAGCTCAGGGGTGGGCAAACGTTTTGGCCCGAGGACCACATTGGGATTGAAAAACTGTATGGAGGGCTGGGTAGGGAAGGCTGTGCCTCCCCAAACATCCAGGCCCCCGCCCCCTATCCAGCCCTCCCACTTCCTGCCCCCTGACTGCCCCCCTCAGAACCCCTGACCCATCCAACCCCCCCTACTCCTTGTCCTCTGACTGCCCCTTTCCGGGACCCCCCACCCTAACTGCCCCCTGGGACCCCACCCCCTATCCAACTCCCCCGCTCCCTGTCCCCTGACACCTATCCTCACTCCCGCCTCCTGACAGGCCCCCCAGGACTCCCACACCTATCCAACCTCCCCTGTTCGCCGCCCCCATCTGCCCCCTCCCACTTCCCACCCCCTGACTGCCCCCCTCAGAACTCCCGACCCATCCAATCCCCCAGCTCCTTGTCCCTGACTGCCCCCTCCCGGGACCCTCTGCCCCTAACTGCCCCCTGGGGACCCCACCCCCTATCCAACCCCCCCGCTCCTTGTCCCCTGACTGCCCCCTCCCGGGACCCCCTGCCCCTAACTGCTCCCTGGGACTCCACCCGCGCCCTGTCCTCGATTGCCCCGACCCCTATCCACACCCCCGCCCCCTGACGGGGGCCCCCCGGGACCCCACACCTATCCAACACCCCCCCACACGCCCCGTCCCCTGACAGCCCCGCCCCATCCAACCGCTCCCTGCTCCCTGTCCCCTGACTGCCCCCCCAGAGCCCTCTGCCCCTTATCCAACCCCCCACTCCCTTACCATGCGGCTCAGAGCGGCAGGAGCTTGCAGCCACGCTGCCGCGCTCCCCGGCAGGAGCGGCGGCCCAGAGGCTGTGGGGGGAGGGGGGACAGCAGAGGAGGGGCTGGGGGCTAGCCACCCCGACCGGGAGCTCAAGGGCCAGGCAGGACAGTCCCGCGGGCCGTAGTTTGCTCACCTGTGGGTTAGCATCACGTGGCTCTCTGGGATGATGCGACTAGGTCGCTGAGGACTGGCTAGAACCAACCCAAATCAATGGAGGCCATGGGACTAAGACATTGTTACCGTGTCTGGGAAAGGCTGTCGCTGCAAATACTCCCTGGGAGCAGGGCGCCCCAAAGGGGCCGATACAAGCCTCCCGCCAGGGTCTGGCTCAGCTGCACTGTCTGCAGGGAGCCACGGAGAGAGACAGAGATTGCTGGTGCCCGAAGGCCCAGTTTCGGTGTCATGGACTCCATGGACCTGCCCTGTGGTCCTTGGGGTCCGGCCTGCTACAGGGGTCACTCCCAAGGGACTGGATACAGGCTGGGGCACAGACCAGACCCTGTGCGTCTGTGACAACAGGTACCTTCCCAAAGACCTCCACCTCCGTCCCCTGCTCTTCCAACTTCTGCACTGTGGCCTGGGGAGTGCTTGTTGGCACTATGATGGTGGCAGGGATCCCCAGCTTCCTGGCAGCGTAGGCCGTGGCGAAGCCCGCATTCCCCCCTGTAGGGACAAGGAGACAGGGGTCAGTGAAGAACAGTGGGGGCTTGGGGACCCCCCAGCGTGGCAACGGAACAATGATCCAGCGGGCTCTGGATTCGGGCCCTACTCGATGAATCAGAACCAGACCCAGGTCTCCACATCTGGGTCCACGCATGGATGAGGGCTATTTGGAGTCAAGCTCCCCCCTACCATGTAGGGAACCCTAAATCACAGCATGAGAACCCATGCTGCTCCCTTGACACAAAGATCGCAGCATCAATCGCTGGCTTCAGGGGCAGAGCTGGAAGTGGGCGTGTGGGGACAGGCACCCCAGGCGGGTCCAGAAACGCGCAGTGAGCGGCGCCAGCGCATTGGCTCCAGCCTGCGACAGAATCTGGACCAAGCGATTCAAATAAAAGAGCTTTGATGTGTCAACCTGGAGTGGGTTCTAATCCCCAGCCCTCTTCAGTGCCAGGTACCCGCTCTCCCTGGCAGAGACCAGGCCGGCAGTCAAAGGGAGAATAGGATTGTAAGATCTGTTCGCCGACACACAGCATAGAATAACCCGCAGCCTCTTTGGGGCTATTTCCCCTCGTGGATTTACAGACTCACTGGACTTTGGAATGAGCAAGCTCATGCCAGGCGCAGTGTAATACGGACCCACTGATACAGGCCAAGCCTCCATGCCCCCCCCCCCCCAATATATCCTGCAGTCAGACTGAACTCGAGTGCAGGGAGCGTGGTGGCTAGCACGGCTGAGAGGGTGAACGTCCGGCTTTCCACCCTTCAGATGACTAGTCGTTTCTCCGTCCCTCTGTAACCCCAGACCGGCTGCTCTCGGTTTACTGCTGAGGCTAGAAACGCCGAGTCATGAGACTGCGTCGAGACACAAACATTATGCCCAGAAATGATCCACTGCATCATTTCACACCGCTTCCCTCCCCTTGGGTTCCTGGCTGAGTCCCAAATGTGTCTTCTGGCCTGGATTTGAAAGGCCGGATGCCCTCACCTGGGCCTTGGCAGGGTGAGAGCTGACGTCCCACTTCCCCTGTGCTTTAAAGAAATCTGCACCGGTACCCCAGGGAACGCCTGGGTCACCTCCCAGGGATCAGGTGATGGAGCAGAACGGCCCTGTCTTGCTAAATATCCCAAGGCAGAAGAATAGTTTGAAGTAAATTTACCTGTCGAACAAACAAAATGTTTGCAGCCCTTCTTGGCAGCCTGAAAGAGAAAGTAGAGCTTGGAATTCACGTAACTCACTTCTCAGGGCTGGGCCTGTACATCAGCCAACACAGTTTGGAGGTAAAATTAGCAATACAATTACAGCTATAATACTGCAACGTCGGGAATACAATCTGGACTACGCACCCACACCCGAATGCATTCTGTGCCATATACACACACGTTGTCTGCACCACCACATACACACACACCAGTGTATATTACACCCATACTGCACACACATACACACTAATGTTTCCGCACCATTTTGCAAGCACATACAAGTGTGTTTTGCAACCCCCCCCACACACTAGTGCATTCTGCACTGCTAGGCGCACACCAATGCATTTTGCACCACCCTACCCACACACAAAAATGCACACAGCCTTCTTCTGGGCATACTCACGGTACATTGTGTCAGTCACCAAGCGCCTCAAAACATCAGAAGAGCAAGGGCTAACGTCCCAATGCTGGGCTCACCTCCTGACAGAAGTAGCCAATCCCCCGAATCTTGAACGAGCCGGTAGGTTGGACATTCTCCAGTTTCATGTAGACCCTGGTGCCTGCAGCCTTGGACAGGGCCGTGCTTTCCAGCACAGGAGTGAGGATGTGGAACCCTCTCCCATCTCTGTCCAACAGGGCTGCCATCGGTGTCAAAGGAAACACCTAAAGTACAGACAAGGCATGTCCCAAGGCAATGAGACAAGGCAAGAGATACCAGAGGCCAAATCCTACTCTCAGTTAAATCTGGAGCATTTCCACTGATTGGAAGTTAATGGATGGGCCAGCCCTAGACATTGTGGTGCCCTACGCAGCTCCCCCCCCCCCCCCGAAGGCTGGCTGGCCCCCGGCCTCCGCGGGGGGCAGCACCCAAGGTCTGTGGGGGGCAGGAGCAGGCTTGGGGGGCAGGGGGGAAACTGCCCCCCAGCACGAACCGGCGGAGTGGAGTGGGTTGGGGCCGGCTCGCTCCACTTCCCGCCGCCCGGTGATTGCAGGGTGGGCCCGACCCCACACTCACAGGGTGGCGGGAAGTGGAGTGACCCAGTTCCAGCCCACTCCGCTCTGCTTCCCTGGCTCCCAGCTGTGGGACTTGGGGGGCAGGGGGAACCGCTCCCCAGCACTCACCAGCGGTGCGGCTGGGAGCCGGTGGAGCGGAGCCGGCTGGGGCCGGGTCACTCCACTTCCCACCGCCCAGTGAGTGCAGGGTCGGGCCCGACCCCTGCTGCAGTCCCCCGGGACATAGCTCAGGGGAAGAGGTGGGGCGGAGCAGGGGTGGGGGCAGCTTTTCTGGCCAGCTCAGCCAGCCAGGGGAATCGGGCTGGCCGCTGGAGCAGCAGGCAGTTGCAAATTGGTGCCCCAAATTTCCTAGTGCCCTACGCAGCTGCGTAGTTTGCATATGGGTAAGGACGGCCCTGGAACTACCCTGGATTTGCACTGGCGTAGTGAAGGAATCCAGCCTTTCATGCCACGCATGCATAAGGGTGCAGGGAAAACCTAAGAGGCCAAAATCTGCTTTCTCTGCCCAGGGAACCAAGTAGGTAGGTGCAAAATGACTATTACCACAATACAAGGGCTTTGTCCTTGCACAGAGGTGTTGTTCCATTCTTCAGAGGGTCCATAGGTGCTGACTCCATGGGTGCTCCGGGGCTCAAGCACCCACGGAAAAAAAAACAGTGGGTGCTCAGCACCCACCAGCCACAGCAGTTCGGCAGGGCCACCAATCAGCTGTTTGGTGGCTGGCGGGAGGTGCTTGGGGGAGGGTGTAGACAGTGAGCAGCGGGTGGGGGCCTGAGGGGAGGGGGCGGAGTGGGGGCGGGAAGAGGCAGAGCAAGGGCAGGGCCTTCGAGGAAGGGGTGCAGTGGGGGCAGGGTCTCGGAGCACCCCCAGGGAAAAGTAAAAATCAAGGCCTATGAGAGGGTCTCTTTGCATGGGTTAGAGTTGCAGGATCTGGCTCCAAGGGAAGGCTATGCCTTGCAAGCTATTTGCAAGGACATCTGAATGGCTGAAATTGGAATATTTTTGCAGTTCATTGCCAAGTTGAAATCCCCCCCCCCCTTTTTTTTTTCAAAAAGGCCAAGAGTGAGCTATTTTGAGTGAAAAAGGGCCTCTGTATTTGAGCCAAATTGCTATCACTGTAACAACATGGCCTTTGGTGATTTTGCATGGCTTTTGCTGGTAATTTTTTTTTTTTTTTTAAGCAACAAAGGACAGCACCACCACAAAAACTGATGAAATCAATACATCGTGGAAAATGTCATGAACAAACTGTTGAGAAATTGTCTGCCATTTGCCTAGTAATTAACAGAACCCAGATATTCTTGCTCCAGAAGCAAAACCTCTTCCCACTTGAGCCAAAATTCAAGGAGACTCTTCTTTAGCGAAAGCAGTATAGGACATATGACACACAGTTACGCAATTTTGATATCATGCAGTAGAGGACAGTGGTGACACCTGGACACTAGTCTGCTTATTACCATGTAAAATGTAAAATAAAATTCTTCTCTTTTGGGGGAAAAAAGAACATTTAACAATTATTTATTGCAGTTACTCTGGATAACTGCATTGACATCAATAGTCAATAAGTTCTTTCTTGGCTTTCTTTACTCACGTGGGACCAGACATTTGGCTATTATAAATCAGCAGAGCTCCATTGACTTCCATTGTGCTACGCTGATTTACGCCAGCAGAGGATCAGGCCCGCGTTCTTTCCAGATCCGAGCATCCTGCACAGAGCGCGCCCGGGTGCCAGGCTCACTTCCACTGATGCGAACTGCCTCACTACCGGCCAGGGAGATCTCTCCAACAGCTGGGGCATTTAGGGCCTTATGGATCAGAACTAGTACTTTAGGCTTGCCCCAGAAATCACTCAGCAGATCCCAGAGGGTGGGTGTCGTGGGCTCCCTGCACTAGGCCCTGCTAACCGCAGCTACTGTGTTCTGTGCTAGCAGCGATTTCCCAGTGGTCCTGATGTGCAGCCTCGCAAAGAACTCCTGGCAATGGTGGAGACAGGAAGGAACAAAACCTAGGGATGACCAAGCGTGGCGAGCTCCCCCGGCCGCAGGAAAGGACTCAACCTCTGGGCTAAGTGCAGATAATAGGAAACGCATCTCAGCAGCCACAAGCTGGGAATCCAGCAGCAGCTGGGGATGGAACAAAGTGCCAAACCTTGGAGACAAGTGATAGACGCACCCTGTCAACCACGGGCGCCGCTACAATCTCTGCAAGTTCTCCTGGCACCTTCATCTGGTTCATCGCTAGCCAGCTGCTCTCTGTTAGACACTGGGGGCCTGAGGCTCAGTCAGTCCGTGCCTACTCTGCAGGCAGGAATGGGGGGGGGGAAGAGATTTTAACCATCTTTGTGGATCCTTTAACCATCCATGTTTCTGGGGGTTCTGCAGGACCCTGTCCAATCCCTGGTGTAAGTTAGAGCAGCCTCAGAGCTGCTCTGATTTAGGATTTGCCCCCTGCAGGAGCAGACAGTAATACAGTGCACGTCAGCCATGCTCCCTTTCTGTCCCTAACATGCCCTCTATGGCAGGAGCTGGAAGTAGGGTCATAGCAGAGCTCTCATGCTAGTTCCACATCAATGCAGGAGCACCTCTGCACAAGGAGGTGTTTCATTCCTTGCCCCCTTATGCTGCCAAGAGGGCACCAGGGGCATTATTATAATGGAGAGTCGGACCCCAAGCAAGCCCCTCCGATGCACCTTGAGAATCAGAAATCTGTCTGTCTATCTAGCCCGTCACCGGAGTTATTAAACACGTTGCTGAGGGTGACAGCACTGCTGCAGAACAGGGCACCAACTCCCCACCCCTCTGTCCCTGCCATTTCCTTTTGAAGATTCTTGGGTCCCAATCCTCAAAGGTAGGTAGATGCCTAAATCTCTGTGAGGCTCTGGGCCTGTCTGAATCCATGCTGGATCCCTTCTCCTGACCCATTCAGGAGCTGCTCTTCATAGTCCCCAGGCAGTTTGCTTCAGAGCGCACCCTCATGTGAAAGCTAAAAGATGGCCATTGCTAGCCGCACAGCTTCAGCCGACGTCACCCAGGGATCGAGGGCGGCTGCGGTCAGAAACGGGGAAGTCTTGAGATCAGAACCTTTGACCAGTTCTCAAAGGCTTGACCAGCCCGAGGGCTGAAGAAAGAGGACAGAGTTCACTCACTCATTTATTATTTACTGACGCGGAGTGTGATCCCGGCACATATGCACGGCCTACATGCACCTAGGGAAGTGCGTCAGACTCATTCAAGGGTTAACGGGTATAAACAGATAATCTCGGCCTAAACTGAAAATATTATCTCCCTAAAAGAACAAGGCTATGTCCTTAGCAAATCCCTTTGGAGTTAGACACACCCCCTGCATGCAAGGACAGGATTGGCTCCCGGACCTCAACTCTCCCCAGCCCTCCTCAGCAGCTTTGCCTGTCAATTGGGTTGCACAGTGACAGGCCTGCCATCTGCTTCGTATTTGGAATACTTACCTTGATTCTGGCTGGGATCTCTTGCCTCCTTGCCGCAGGCCCGAAAGGCGATGCCCTTCCCCACGCATGCAGAAGGGGAGGAGCCGGTGATTCCAAACTGCAACCAGCAGAGCAAAGTTTAAGAAATGGAGGCGGGGAAACGGAGTGAATGAGAGTTACATTAAAGAGACCCTGTCATCTTGACGAGCCGACTTCTGTCCAGACAATGTTTCATGGGCTCTTGTTGCAAACATCACCGAATAAAACAGAACTGGACAAGATTAGAGAAAAACAACAGATTACACTCTATTCTCCAGTCTATTTACTTGGCGTTTTGCATGCTGTCAGTTTCACTGTTTAGTCAGGGTAACATTTTCCAAAGCCCCTGAGTGACTAAGCTGCCAAAGCCCCATTTCCACAAGTGATTTGGGGCCACATTTTCCATGTGATTAGGTGTGTAACCCGGTGTGCGGGGGCAGCCCTCACTGAAAACGCCAAGGTCAGGGCAGGCTGCGCAAAGGAGAGCAGATTCTCCCAAAACTGGTGGTTAACACTGAAGTTAAACTCACCAACCAATTGTGTTTCTGATCCCCCCATGCTGGTTATCAAGAAGCAAAAAAAAGGGAAAAAGAAACCACACAGCCCCCATTATTGCATTCCAGTTCTCTGGTTCCCAGTCAGCACCTAGGTCCAGTACAGTGAGAAGTTATTTGAATACAAAGTGTTCTTCTGAACCCCAAAGGGCCGTCAATATTAGGTTGGATCTTACCCAAAATACCACACGGCCAGCCAATCCTTTAGGGTCTAAAAACGAAAGAACAAGAAAAGAGCTGTTAAACGATAAAGCACTTAGATACATACAGAGACTACAAAGAGCATAGATCAGGCTCTTAGCAGTATTGAGTTTGCTGGCTTGGAAGTCTCTCTGAACACATCCACAGCTGGGATGGGTCATGCAGTCCTTTGTTCAGAGCTTCAGTTTGTAGAAAAGTTCCTCCAGAGGTAAGAAGCAGGAATGAAGACAAAATGGAGATGATGCAGCCGCCTTTTTATATCCTTTGCCAATGTGGCTTGTACTTCCTGTGTCCTCCCAAACACAAGCTTCACAGCACATGGCATGGAAAAGCCTTAGAGTTCTGTCCATAGGCCTGACCCTCCATGCCTTGCCTTCTCTCAATGGGTCTTTGACACCTGCTGTACTGGGGTTCCACTGAGCCCGCCCGTTCCACCAGCCTGGGCTCCCTCACCATGTCCTGCTGCCCACACCCACACCCACAGGAGGGACTCACCCAGCTGTAGAATCACAGAGTCTGCAATCAGCTCTGTGTAGGAAGACTCAGCTCAGGGATTGCCCTTGCACTCAGGTACACACACTCTCTGGAATGCAAACCCAAAATGATATTGTCTGGCGCTGTGTAGAGATCTATACAGCGTCAGCTCGTGAAATTTGCTCCCTCCCTCAATGTGGAGGAAGATACTCACAGCTTTTTGCCACAAACTGGGTTTTAGAAAACAAACAAGTTTATTAACTACAAAGGATAAATTTCAAGTGATTATAAGGGATAGCAACAGATCAAAGCAGATCACTGAGCAAATAAAACAAACACGCAACTTAAGCTTAATACACTAAATTAACTGGTTAATAGAAGCAAATTCTCACCCTAAGTGTTGTTTTGTGCAGGTTGCAGAATTTCTTGTCTGCAGCTTAACTCTCCAGGGATTCCTTTCACAGACAAGACCTTTCTCGCCTGGGCTCAGCCCCTGCCACCCCCAGCTTAGTTCCTTTGTTTCTTCAGGTGTTTTCATCAGTCTTTCTTCTTGGGTGGGGAGGCAATGGAGAAGACCCAAGATTAACTCACTCCCCAGCCTTAAATAGGAGTTACATATGGTGGGAATCCTTTGTTTCCCAGTTTGACGCTCACCCCCTTCCAGTGGAAAAATACCAGCAGATCAAGATGGCTTCCTGTACTAGGTGACATGATCACATGACCCTGCAGTGTCAAAGCAGCATCCCAGGAAGGTGGGAGATTAGTATCTTCAAAGTCCTATTGTCCTTCCTAATGGCCCATCCAGGCTGATTGTCTACTGTCCGGTGGGCGTTCCCCAGGTGCAAGCACTTTTGTAATTGCTACATAGTCCATATTCCTAACTTCAGATACAGAAATGATACCTGTATACAAATAGGACAATCATATCCAGTAAATCATAACCTTTCCAATGATACCTCACATGACCCATCTTGCATAAAACGTTTCTTAGTCATGCCATATTCATATCATAACGGTATTTCTATGAAGAATATGGGGCGTAATGTCACAGGATCAATTGTATAGTTGATGACCCTTGATGGGCCATCGAACAGGCTAGGCAGTGCTGATGCCAATCTGTCTGGGGGTGTCACCCAGAAACACAGCACAAGTTTGGAAATACAGATATACCCTACATAGCTATAACAAAGGTGATGCAAACAAGATGATCATACTTGGCAAATCATAACATCTTTATAAAGCAACAGAGGGTCCTGTGGCACCTTTAAGACTAACAGAAGTATTGGGAGCATAAGCTTTCGTGGGTAAGAACCTCACTTCTTCAGATGCAACATCTTTATAGATACCTTACATGGCAAATCTAGCACGATTCATTGCAGTATTTATAATATTGGTACTAATAATATCATAATGTGTTCCACATATTCCGTACAGCGGCACCAGGCACCTAAAGATGCAAATAGGCACCTAAGGGAGTTTTTTTAAAGCATTGAAATCAATGGGAGTTTGGCACCCAGCTGCTTTGGACTATCCACTAGGCACTGATCTGGATCTTTTGGTGCCTAAATACCTAAAAATCTGGCCCTCAGGACTTTCAGGGAGACTTAGGATCCTATAATTGCAAGTAGTACATTATAAAAACAAATGCCCAAGTCATTTTTGAAAATGGGATTTCATCTCCTAAGTCCCTTAGGTGCTTTTGAAAAATATCACCCTCCATTTCTCCTCCTGTTTGTGTGGGTCTTTCATGCAGCAGCAAGGGAGACGGAAACCACAGAAAAATATGGCTATAAATTAGCACAGAGGAAGGGGATGTTTTGGGGACAGATGTAGCACCAGAAACTACTTTGAACTCATTTTGTGAAATTAACCAGATTTCAGTTTGACAATCCCTCAGCAGCCATGTGTGGTCCATGTAACTGTCCCCCGGCAATCCAAGGGCCACTCCTGATTTCCACAGTCTGGCCTAATTCCTGCAAGCCAGGCATTGCCAGAAAGTTCATAAAACTCTGGATTTAGTTTGGAGCTTGTGACACTAAGCTAGGATTCATCTTCACAGCATCATGATGCAAAATCGCCAGATGAGTAAGCAAACATCATGGCATCATGCTGCAGTGACAGACAATTGCAACCGGATTATTTTGCTCCATTGATAAATAGATGGCATTCCCTGTCAGGGCATCACAGTATTTTCCAGTCCTCATGCCCCTGTGAGCCTAGCTGCTTTGCCAGGCATGCACCAAACAGCCATGGAGCTCCAAAGAATTTCCTCAACAATTCTAGGAACTTTAACCCCTTCACGGCTGGGTCTCCATCCTTCCTGCTGTCCAGCTGTTGTTCTATTAACATACCATGGGACTATTTAGATAGTGGGATGCACTTCCCAATATGTTCAGGAACTGAACAGGTGCCTCCCATCAGATATCTCTGGAATGTTTGGCTGCACATAAATAAACTAAAATCCATAACCGGGGTGTGGTGCATGTGCATTCACGAGGGCAAAGAGAGAGCCACGTGTGTAAACCCCACAGGCGTGCGCATGCCAGAGAACTTGGTGCGCAAAACCTGCATTTGTGTGCACAGGCAAAATGCAGGGAAATGCTTGTGCACGCATGCAGATGTGCAAACTTACATGCAAAAGCCACACGTAGCCGTGCCAGCTCACATAGAGCTGCTCGGCAATATGCACAAGCAGATGCATCATTTGCTGGTGCCGCTTAAGGACTGAGTTGGAAATTTAGCTCTGAATGCTGCCAAGCTACAGGGTCCCTAAATCCATTTCCAGGCCCCTAGCTGCGGGCATTCCCAACAATGGGCAAGTTGAGGGCCTCAGCTCAGCAGCCAAAGACACAGGCCCTGCTCTGCTCTGTGAAGCGTGAAAAAAACAAGAGCACCACACAAGCTCAGCGCTGCAGCAGGGTCTGACCGACAGTTGGAGGGGCAGGTCTGAAGCAGGGAGGGAGGGATAATGTACCGTATAGCCAGGGTCTAGGTGCAGGTTATTTATTTGCACAATAATGCTTCAGTCTGCACCATACACACAAGTGTACTTGGACTCTACAAGAGCTGCGTTTTATAATCAGGCCCAGTGCATCGGGCTGGGTGCATCCAGATTTCCTGAGCTGCAAAGGAGGGGAGTGGTCATTATCTTTGCAGCCAGAGTACTCATGGTTTTGGCCTGTCGTTGTCACGTACCTCAAACAGAACGTTAAGATTTTCAGACTGATCAGACATGCACACGAACCGTCCATCTTCTTATAAAGTAAAAGATGCTTGTGCATTTGTGTGCATACATGTGTGACAGCAGTTGTACGCATGTGCGTGTGCATATATGTTACTTGTGTGCACATGCGTGTGCATGTGTATATGTAGGTAGTGCATGTGTGGGCATCCACAGAGTGCAAGCTGGTGGTTGTATGTGTGCATATGCATGAATGCGCCTTTTGTTCGTGTGTGTATACATATATTTATACCATCATCTGTGTGTGTACATATATGTATGTGTAAATTTGTGTGCATGCATATTTACATGACTGTGTATGTGTTTATGTTTGCAAGCACATGAGGGCCTATATGCATGTGTGTGGATACATATATGTGTGATCATTTGTGCATGGATGAGTATGTGTGTGTATGTCACCACATGTATGTTAATATGTGCAAATACATGTGTGTCAGCATCTGTGTTCATGTATGTGTAACAAATCAAGTGTTGTGTAGGGGCTTGTCTACGTGGGGAAGTTTTTCCACGGTAACTTTAGTTTACTCAGTATAAACTGCCTCGCAGCCACACACAAAGTGCTGTTTTCAATTTATCTGGAGTCTTGGCCCGCAATCGGCTTTGA